TTCCCTACCGTTAAGTAACTTGTGCATTGTTTTACTTGTTTATGACATATCCGACTGAACTACAAACTTTCCAGTGATGTCTGTGAGAAAGATATATTTACTCGACAAGCTCGCGCATCTGCGCCGCCGCGCGCTCAATCCACTCAGCGTGCTTTGTTTATCAGCTCGCGCACACCAGCTATACAGGCGTTAATACTGAATGTTTAACATTATATTCATTGCATACATATACTTCGTAGTAGACATCCTTAACTCCTTTCTGCTGTCTGTTGTTGGTGTTTCTTTGTTTGAATATGGCGCTTATCACATGCTGTGTGGTATCGGTGTTTGGTATTGGGGCATTTTAACGAGTACGAGTACGAGTACAGGAGACCAGTATCGGGCCCGATACCGATACCAGTATCGGTATCGGTGCATCCCTAATAAACGTAATTACATAAACTAATTACAGATGAAATTACATGCAGGTATTTTTAAAAATATAAGTACAATGTAAAAGCATGCATGTACGCAATAAGTGCATTGTAACAAATAATTAATTTAAATGTAAGTACATAGTTAAGGCCACTTAATATAAAGTGGGACCAAACATTCATTTTAATTCGGACCTGTACCGTTGACTTAGTAGTTCCCGTCAATACTACTAAAGCCAGTCATTAAATTAGTTTGATTTCTCAGAAAAAATTGGCAAGGTTAGACTGGAAAGTTGAAAGTTGTTACAGAAAGGTGGTGTCCATTTATGGTTTCGCATTATTTTGTTGCTAGCAGGGTGAATTTCACGAAAGTATGTCGAGATCATATTTCATTCCAAAACCAACAGAACATCTATAGAAAATTATATTTTATATAAAAATGGATCTGATGCCTATTTTTAGGAACATTAAGAATTTTCTAATTATTTATTTGTAACTACAGTTAAGCACATTTCCCCTTCAAATTCTTAATTCTTATTTTAATTTATTACATTTTTTTTTTTTTTTAAACTGTCCTGTCCTGTACAAAAAAAAAAAAACTATGTTTTTTTCTGGATTCTTTGATGAAGAGAAGGTTCAGAAGAAAAGCATATAATCTTCTTTTTTTTTTTTTTGGAATGGAAGGGTATATTTATGTATACTTAAGTACTATAATGAAAATATATGTTCATGAATATCTTGGTCCTAAAATATTACTTCTTATTTCCTTCTGGTAAGATACATGGACCAGAAATGTCAATGTTAATGTTTTTTTTCATTGTTTTAAAAATTATCAGACTAAAAACAGAACATGTTGAAATGACATTCAAACATTATCATGTTGGTGCAGAATTTATTGATATTAGTTGAGCTGTTTACTCATTGTGGCTGAGACCTAAATAATTCCATCAGGGAATTTGGAGCCGCATAATCCAATGTGTTTTAAACATCAGTTCCCTGTATCTGAAAATCACCTGGTTGACTCAAGACCTAAAGTGACTCAGTCAAATTGAAACACCAATGAGATAAACACAACATGACAAATCACAAAGCTTTGTCAACTTTTCCATCACATTAGTGGAATAACAAAGTACATTATCACATCCAGATATCTGTACAGCCTGATTATCTGTACAGCCTAACAACTGAAATTAGCTTTGGGATCAAGAGAGCACGTCAGGAAATATTGTTCTTTTGAGAGTTCCCTAAGGCTCCCTTGCTGATTTAGGCAAATATCACAAAGTTTTTGGCCCAGGCATTAAAATGTTGCCACGATAAGCATTTTGTTGACTCACTGACCTTAAGGGCTGTTATTGTTGTCTCGTGATTGATTGACAGGTCTTTCAGTCGTGCAGATTTCTTTGTGCACTCTTCCTAGAATACAGTGGACTCACAACTACACACTGTACGAAGATAAGAAGCAGAGGCACTTAATATTTTACTAGCTGGCTGCTAGTGAGTACCATGGGTCTTGCACCCCGCCAAAAGACAAAGATAGAACTTGAATGTGGGATGTCACAGTCTGGAAAAAGCTTCGAGACTGCATAGCAAGCAACTAATCAGAACACACACACACACACACACACACACAAAAAACTGCTGGGTCAGGAACAAACTCTACAGTGCGTATGCTACCGCTGAACAGAAATGCTTGGTAAACACACTGCAAGTGCGCTCCCCTGGTGTACATACTTCACATGCATACTTGAGTTTGTTTGGCAGTAACAAAGTGCTGAATGTGTTAGTATACTATAGAGGTAGTTAGCTATAAGCATGTTAATAGTTTGCATTTAACTAAATTGCTTACGATTCTTTAAATCAAGCCCTTTTCAGAAAGATGATACAAATCTGATAAAAACATAATGTAGTATCTATCGTTTTATTCTATATTTTCACTTTGTATTCATATAAATGTCATAAAAGTTACATAAACAGTTTATGGTTGAAGAGAATCATGTTGAGCAATACACAACCCTTTTCAGAAAGATGTAGCCTACCAAATTTGATCAAATGTTATATATTGTCAAATTTATTGTTACATTTTAAGCCTGATCTATAGTTTTGTACTGTATTATTTTGTTTACATTTTTACATTTACACAGAGTCATAAGTACAGCTTATCTTTAATGCAATTTCTCAATAAGGTTCCCTTTAAACCAAAGATGGCCCAAATTTGATAAAGTATTAAATATGATCCAATTTATTATTACATTTTAAGCCTGATCTATAATTCTGTATTATATTTTTTATTTTGTATTCATATATAAATACAGTCATAAAGACAATTTATTTGTAACTGAAGTACTCAACAAGATTCTCTTTAAACCAACCCGTTTCAGTATATGGTATAAATCTGATAAAATATTAAATATTGTCAAATTTATTGTGGTATTTTAAGCCAGATCTGTAATTTTGCACTATATTTTAATTTAATATTTTTATATAAATTTGTGTTTACTGTAGACAGTTTATCTTTAACTAAACTGCTCAACAAGATTCTCTTCAAACCAGCCCGTTTCAGATATATGTACTGCATTTTTTAAATATTACACATTATTACATTTATTTTTGCATTTTAAGCCTGGTCTATAAATTTGTCCTATATTTCAATTATATTTTCATATATAAATTTGCATTATGAGTCATATGGAGAGTTTATCTTTAACTAAATTGCTCAACAAAACTCTCTTGAACCAACCCTTTTCAGCAAAATGGACCAAATTTTTGAAAAATTAACTATTTTTCAAATTTATTGCTGCATTTTAAGACTGACCTATAATGTTGTTCCATATTTATTTTATAATTTTTTTACACATATATTTACAGAGAGTCATGTAGACAGTTTATTTTAAACTAAATTGCTCAACAAGATCCTCTTTAAACCAAACCTATTCAGAAGGATGAACCAAACTGATATTTTATCATATAGTTTCCCCAGTCAATTTAATTTTACCTTACCTTTTAATGTTTAATGAAATATTTATATTTACATTTTTGTATAATGTATATTTTTGTTTTCCAGTTGACAGAAGCAGGTCTGTATGAGAAAGAGAAAAAAAACTGACTGTAGTCAGTGTGCACTAATGTCTGCTATTGCTCCCCTTGAGGCAACACTGAGAATACAATTTGAGGACTTGCACCGAATATGTTTCTGGCCACGCAACTGCCATCAGATTCATTGAAAGTTTGAACTGTGAGGCCAATAACATGATGACAGTAAGACATTTCATAAGAAGAGAGGAGCCCTACCATGCTCTAATTGAATATTCTGATCTTTTTTCCTCCAGAAAGATGGAAAACGGTCAACCCACAAAATTAAAGCTGTAAATATCTTCCAGAGCACATTTGGACTGGAGCGAATAACCAGATATCTTACAGCGGCAAAATGTCACAGACAGCTGTGGGACCTCCACACGGCACAAACACACACAGCAATATTGCCACGTGTTTGCTGAGGCCAGTCATGGCCGAGAATAAACAGATATCTAAAGGTTGGGTGTAAGATCCTATAGGGAACGAGATAAATGTCATTTCACATTTCCTTAACCTTTGCGCTGATAACAACACCTGCCTGGGTTGGAATCGTCATGTAAACGCTGACTTTGCATGCTAGGGCATAATATCCATGCACTGCATGTGACTTTATGTGTTCGTCTAAAGCACTTTGACAGCACATCCTAGCTATGAAATAGTTTTTTTCTTGGACTAACAAAAAATGTTGCTGACAACAAACAAAAAAAGAGGACATATTGTGGTTAGATCATTAAGTAGTTCTTAGGCCCGTTGTTAATTATTGATAAATTGAACTATACTCCACAAAAATTCTGTAAATTAATTCAGGCTGAACTGCTTAATGCAGAGACTCAGTTTCTTTAAAGATAATTTTAGCCACATTCTACACTGAAAAAAATACAAATCAGTCATTTTATTCCAAATCAGTGTTTTCTGATATTATCAGTCAGGCCACGTTGAATATATAAGCTGCTATAGAGATATTGGTAATGCTTAACAATAAGGACTCACTGGCTAGTTAACTACATTAATTAACATGAACCAACAATAATAATACATCTAAAGCATTTATTAATCTTCGTTAATGTTAATGTCAACTTTTACTAATGCATAATAAAAATCAAAAGTTATACCTGTTAACATTAGTTAATGCACTGTGAACTAACATGAACATTAACATTTTTATTAACTAACTAGCATTTAAAAGTTTAATATATGCTGTAAAAATGTACTGCTCATTATTAATGTTAGTTAATGCATTAATAATGTCAACAAATGAGACCCATCCTGTAATCTGGATCAAGTATGATGCCAAAGAAACTAAACGAAAAATCCTATCACTTGTCACATTTAGTTAAAACGAAAATTAATTAAATCTCTTTAATTAAAATAGCTTTTAATTCCTTGTTGCGGTCCCACTTTATATTAAGTGGCCCTAATACCTGTGTACTTACATAGTAACTAGATGTGTACGTAGTATGTAACCACAGTGTAAGTACACATTGGTACATAGTATCTACAGCTCTAATGTTTGTGTAACTATATGTAACAACCCACTGAATGGTATGTGTAAGTACATATGTGTAACAGGACATTGGTAACAACACTTTTTGTTAATGAAAGTACAAATGTGTAACAGGGCTAACAGCACTTTTTGGTAAAGAAAGTGTTACACTTTATATTAGATTTACCATTTAATTACTCTGATGTTACACAGCAGCGGCCAGTAAGTTAGGCTTTACATATAAATTGTGGTTGGTGTCCAGAATGTTACACTTTATATTAAGTGGACAGTTCCTGAGGAGTTACCATTTAAGTACACTGGTATTACAGTGGTGCACCAACTCCACCAACTTGAGATCCAACTCCTCCCACTTTACATATCCCTAAACCTACCCATCTCCATCCCCTGCATCAAATGGTTCCAATTACTCTTATACATATTGTTGTTACAAAATGTAGTTACATAATTCCTGTTACACGAGTACTTAGTGAAGTGAAAAAAGTGTTGTTACCAATGTCCTGTTACACATTTGTAATTTTGTACAAACCATTCTGAGGGTTGTTACATGTGTGTAGTTACAGAAATATTACAGCTGTAGATACTATGTACCAATGTGTACTTACACTGTGGTTACATACTACGTACACATCTAGTTACTATGTAAGTACACAGGTATTAGGGCCACTTAATATAAAGTGGGACCCTTGTTGCTTTGTAATATCAGCCTGGTTTAGAATATGGTGTGGGTATTTTGGACTTTTTGCATGCAAATTCCAATTGGTCTTTTTTCTTACATATTTGTGCATACTGAATCGTTATTGGTCTTCCATTTTCAGCATCAACCATAGAGACACCTTTTACACTGTAGCAGAAAGTCTGCTGCTTTAACACAGAATCAAAGCTTAAAACTTTTAACCTACTTTAAACTTCAACACTTTTCCTTTTGCTGCCTTGAAAGCAGTGGAATTATATTCAGGAAGTGCAAATCTAGTTGTCTTTGCTTTATTACAGCAAACGCTCTTTTAACGTCCTTTAAAATTTAGCCATTAAAACTAAAAAATGCTTTCAAGCTGAATATCAAATGAGGACAATTTTGTCGTGACAGAGGCAAGGAATTACATTCAAAGTGCATTTAGCACTCGCAGTATAGAGTATAACCCCCCACATGAATATTTTTGATCAGCCATGCAGCCCATTTCTTTCCTGGTGTTTTCAGAAGCAGCAGAACACGCACACTGAGTCGCACTTCGGCGGCACTAAAAGAGGGAAACGTCTATTTAAACTTCAAAAGGAAGCCGTGTCGGCTCTCTGATCCCAACACATTGGCACAACATTTGGAAAAAACTAGCAAATGAGGACAAGAAACAACATCAAGCAGATGTGTTTTTCTGACATGCTCATATCTCTCTTTCTCTCTTCCACACTCACTCTCCAACTGTTCTGCAGGGGAAAAGAGGAGGAGCTCTGTAATTCTCATTGCAGAGGAGCCATGCACAGCAGGAAAGTAGTAAAGGGAGGGAGAGAGGATGAGACCTCCAGACACACAAACTAATTTACTCCGCAGCTGCCTCTTCGACCGCAGGTATGCGGCAGTGAGATCACCACAAGGGTCTAAGATAGAGGTGCTCAACTCCAGGAAACAGACTGTACACTGCATGGACACAGTTCCAAAATGATAATCGCAAAATCAAACACTGAAGTTATATACCAAATACATGGTTACACTTTATCTTAAGGTCCAGTTCTCACTATTAACTAACTATCATCTGCGACTTTTGCCTCAATAAACTCCTAATTTCTGATTATTAATAGTTAGTAAGGTACTGTAGTTAAGTAGCAGGATTAGGAATATAGAATATGGTTATGTAAAAAATGTGCTTTTATAAGTACTAATATAGTACTAACAGCCAATAAGCATGCTAATATGCATAGTTAATAGTGAGAATTGGTCACTATAC